AGAAATTATAAAATTAAAAATATGAAACCGTAATTTATGAAATAAAGAACAATTATGATCTAAAGGGTATCAAAATTTACAAAAAGAAAAAGCTTAATATTTATTTGTTTACTTTATTAAACATTTCTTTCAATGTAAGTTGTTTAAGTTTTGCTTCGTTTCATGTGATAATACTTTCTCTTTAATTCTATTAAACAGACATAATTTCTTGTTCAGTTACAAAGTTCCGCTGTTCAAGTCCTATAATTGCTGTGTCAAGAATACCGACTAATTTGTCAATCGAATTTTTCGTTTTCAATAACCTCTGTTACTTTCTTCGACTATCGGAAGCGAATTATAATGACAAGAACTTGTTTTAAATCATATCAAAGACGGAGTGCATCGAAGATGAAATACTACATTTAGTTAAGGAATTATAAGCCAAATAAAATAAAAACATCTGCCTTGAAGATAAGGATAGTGCTGACAGATCAACTTCCAAATTCATTGTGCGCCGAGGCATTCCCCCCGCCGAGCAGCGTGAAATTGATAAACAGATTTCGGATTTCGAAAACATACATTTCGCTTTAGATCCTTTACATATTAGCAAATATATATCGAAATTCTATTTGATATAATCGAAAGTTTAAGCTTACTTTTATAAAATTGCTCTACAGTCTGCAAAAAATAATAAGGCGGATCCAATTCGAAAATTAAGGAACAACGCAATCATGCAACATTAACGAAATTAGATAATTATTTAGCTTAGATACGTCCATTATACATTAAATGCGCGCGCGAAAACGTATTATGCACTTGCGCACACTCATATTCGCAGTCGTAAAAGGTCTTACGCGCACGCGTGAAAACGCCTATGCCACATGTGTCAACGCGACGCATGAGCAGAAAGTTTTTAGTTTTGATGTCCGGATTATAGATCATTCCGAATTATGGGTGTCCGAATTAACGACTTTTGACTGTATATGCATAATTTTATACAGTCAAAAGTCGTTAATTCGGACACCCATAATCCGGACCTCAAAGCTGAAAACTTTCTGCGCATGCGCCGCGTTGACACATGTGCATAGGCGTTTACGCGTTCGCGTAAGACCTTTACGACTGCGCATATGCGTGTGCACAAGCGCAGAATACGTTTTCGCGTGCACGTTTTATGTATAACAGATGGTATAAGCTAAAATTATTTAATTATCTATTTCAGTTAATGTTGATGATTGCGTTGTTACTTAATCTTCGAATTGGATCCGGCTTATTATTTTTTGCAGACTGTAAGAGCAATTTTATAGAAGTAAACTTGAACTTTCGATTATGTAAATAGAATTTCCGATGCTGGAGCTCCAAAGGATCTACAAAACGAAAGTATTTTGATGTCCATCAAACAAAAGTGGAATTGCTGCAAAAAATGGATAGACATGAAGAAGGTGACAGAGAGGTTAGTGAAAACGAAAACATTTCGATTGACAAGTTAGTCAGTATTCTTGGCACAGCAATTACGGGACTTGAACAGCGGAACTTTGTAACTGAACAAGAAAGTATGTCTGTTTATAGAATTAAAGAGAAAGTATTATCACATAAAATGAAGCAACTTAAACAACTTACATTGAAAGAAATGTTTAATAAAGTAAGCAAATAAATATTAAGCTTTTTTTTTGTAAATTTTGATACCCTTTAGATCATAATTTTTCTTTATTTCATAAATTACGGTTTCATATTTTAAATTTTAGAATTTCTGCATACCATCTTACGAGATTTAAACTGATGATCTATAATCCGGAAAAATCGATAATCCGGAATCGCCGAAGTCCCGACGAGTCCGGATTAACGACTTTTGACTGTATTCAGCATTTTCATTATCAGGAAGCCAAGGAAATTTCAGAAATTTATGATCCTCTTCAGCAATTTTTATCATTCAAAATGCTTTTTCGATATCCCCATTAAATGCAATTTTAAATTTCTGAAATTCAATAATGCATCTAGTACACTAGGATTTAAATTTGAACAAGTTTCTAAACAATCATTCAATGACATAGATTTCTTATTTTTCGAACTACAATTGTATACAATGCGAACTTTTCTTGTACCCTTATTTCTGTTTACAACAGCTTGATGTGGTATAAAATGTTCAATACAATCCCACCTGCATTCTTCAATAATTCCCTTAAACTCTTGTAGCAAATTATTTGCTTATACTCATTTGCAATCCACTCATTTTTTTCAAAACAGTTTTGCTAATCTTCAAAAAATAACTTTTGGAAAAATAATAACTAGCTATGGAAAAATTATTTTCAAATTCTGAAGGCAATGTTTTCTATACAATTTAGTTTCATATCGACCATTAATAAATCTCAGATCATTTTTAATTGCTCAATTAAACACTTGTCAGTAATAGATAATTCATCCCTATCTCTTATGCCTAAGCTTTCCAATTCCCATAATACTTGAACATCTGTTCATATACTCAAGTTAAAAAGATACTATTTTTACAAAATTAGATTTATTGCACATCTGCTGAATTCCCTGCAGAGTAAAACTAAAAATTGTTGGTGTGCAATTAAGAGTTTTTCTTAATTTCCGAAACCCAGAACACTCAATAGTATTCCAAAACATGTCTCCTCCAATTAATATGGTTACCGACTGATCATCATTTTTACACACATCAGCTAAAATAACAAGCAATACGACAAATTCTTGATGATTCAGAGTTCATCCATGGATAAAGTTTACTGTTTTCATTTCATAATATCATCCATTTACAGACTTATGGCACAGAGTGCTTCTTGATGAATAATATTGTGTATAGGGCAAAACATACTCATAAAATTTTTTTCTCTCACGATAATTTTACTGCAAATCCATTTTTTTTTTTTAACCAACCACAGAATCATTTGCACCATCAGTTGCAAATCCAACTATTTTATTCCAATTTAATTTGCATTATATATTACAGTTTTTATTCCAGGAAAAATTCCATGCAACAGTTTTTCATTTCATGAGAATTATTTCCAGTAATTCTTTAACTACTTTAAATTCATTAATAACATCTCGTATGAAAAGGACAACCTGTGCTACATCTGCAATGTCAGTACTCTTATCAGCCACTATGAAGAATGTTGCAAAATCTTAATTTTTTCATTTAACTGGCATCACAAATCACTAACATAGTCTGCTACTATGTTGCCTTACAAACAGGGGCATAGCTAAAGGAGGCATCTGTCTCTGAGCACAGCACCCAGGGGATGCCAAATTGATGTTAGGAAATTTAAGGATTTAATCCTTAAATTTCCTAACATCAATTTTTTCATTCTTGGCAAATACGAGGGGGCACGAAATCTTCACTTGTCCTCAGGTTCCACGACTCTGCTTACAAACTATTATTTTTAAATACCGTAATTTCCGGAAGAAAGGCCGCATCAGCGTAAACGCTGCACTCGAGAAAAATGGCGGAAAAAAATTAAAATTACACAAACGTCGCATCAGCGAAACGCCGCAATAGATTAAATTGCGTGTGACATCGTCGTGGGCCGTAAGATACAAAAACTCAACCTAAGTCCTGATTATGCATACCAGTTAAGAAAAATGCATGAAATAAACCCATCTCAAAAATAAATTAAAGGTAAGAAATGTATAGCTTCTGTACGTTTAGAGACATTTTCAAAAATTTAGCTCCCTTCTACTTAAAAACTATCCAACAAGTACTTGTACCCAAACTGATGGATCGTATTTGGGAGAATGCATCCATTCAGCTGAAGGGGAAATACGTCAGAGTTCGTTATTGCGAGGCAGGTGGAGTCGTGTCCGCCTTTGAAAATATTGCAGAAAAGGCAGGGGTGGGGAGAGGATGGGTCCTACAGATTCATCGAATGGCAAACAGAGACTATTCAAACTGATGAGAATGTTGATTGAAAGGGGGAAGATGTTATTGTTCTGAGATCTCGTTTAGGGTGAATAAGGCATGTAGGTCCGTTCAAGGGAAAGAATGTAAACAAAATAACGTTCGCAAAAAGCAACTGAGTGGTCTTTGTGTGGGAACAACACCAGTCTAGCACAATGACAAGGCCATCCAAACTATGTACAATGACCATCATAGGAAATATTTTATTTTTAGTGCACCTAAACGCCGCATGGGTAGAAACGCCGCACCCGCTGAAAATTTAAGTTTTAAACACGTAAACGCCGCGGCGTTTCTTCCGGAAATTACGATAGTTTACAGTTTAATCTCTTAATTAAAATCAAAATTACAAGATGAATTTTCATATGAAAGCAGTACTTAAAATATTTTGCAAAATTTTAAATGGTTGGTATTGATGTATGAGGTTTTACAAGCTGTACATTAGTTTATCTCTATCTATTTAGCAATATGAATTGCATAGTTGTACATCCAGCTTACCAACTAGTGACTGACTGAAAGAAAGTAAAAGTATCAACTCATTAAGGTGGGGAAAATTGGGCATGGCAGAATATAAACGTTTCACGAATATAAATGTCAGCTGTACTCAAGCCCCACCTTAGCCTAGACATGGTGCCTGGCATGCAGAATATAAGAATAATAAGAATCTATAATTTTTCCATTTAACTGACACCATAAATCTATCCATTCTATTTTATTTTATTTTTATTCAATAGCAACCTCACTTATTAACACAATCCAAATGTTTCTAATGTTGTTTATATTTATATTTTAAATAGTTATTTCCTCACATGTGACAATTATTGCCGGTTTTTCCCTGAGCTTCTTTTGTGGATCCATCAGAGAAATATAATTGAAATGTATTGGCTGGCTGCATAAAATTCCTTTGGAGGCTGCCAGTTTGAGAATATTGCTCTAACCTACTTGAAAAGTGTCCAAGAATAGTAATTGTAAGTAAATTATGTTAATATAAGATAACTGAGAATGCATTACTTTTATTGCACTCAGATGGCCAAAAACTATATCAGTATCCAAATGCATTATTAATTACAGCTTTTATTTAATTTTACGATGTATTTCATTTGTTTCATCCTACCTGCATAAGACCAATCAGGAAGATCTGTCAATGGGCCATATTCCCTTCCTTTAGCAGGTATTCCATGTCTGAAATTTACAAAACTTATTAGGAACAAATATTAAATAATAAAATTTCATTTCTTTACCAGATATGGATAAATTGTTCAAAATATCTGGAATAAGTCTACTGAACAGAATAATAAAATAATTTTTTTTGGCCCAATCTCATTTACTTGAACTATTATCTTTACAATAAATAATAAAGCTAGTCCTTTGTAACAACATTTATCAAATACTTTTAAAATCAGAATTTGTTCAATATAGTATCACTACTAAAGATTATTTAAAAATCAGTTTCCAAGATTTTTATCTTTTTTGCTAAAACATTATTCATTTTCCCACCTAGGGACTGCAAAAGCAAATTTCAATAATTTGATCTAATATCAGTTAGCACAAAGAATTAATCATCAGCGCATATTAATTTAAAATAATGTTTATTGAAATGATGTGCTCTAGAAAATTAGTTAAACAATTTCTTTAGATTTTTAAACAAAATTTTTGATTTAAACTTTTATTTACACATATAATAAATTATGTACTAAAAGATTTTAAAACATTCTCATTATAAGAATAGCATTCTTTTTATAATCCTATAAATCCTTTAGAGAAATTTTATTTTTGGTGCTTGAATTTTTTTCAGATTGACACTCTTTTCATCAGGACTGAACTTAAATGCATCTTCAACAAAATTTCAACTTTATGATTAATAAATATGCCCATTCAGCATTTGCCATTCCTAAGGCCAGAGATGGTGGCCATTTTATTATTGAGGCTTTCTGTGAATGGACTGAGAGTTACAAACATATCTTCTTTGGAATTTGAACCTGGGCCTTTCGGTACTGCAATAGGCTCCCCTAACCACTATCCCGTCGAAAATAAAAATCATGATTTTATTGGAAAGCACTTACAGATTTTTTTAAATAAATAGATCTCTCCTGATCCCCCAAACTACTTGAAATAAACTTTTAATTTTGAAGTTGAGGGGATGTGAAAACTATTTTACAGAAAGACATTCTGTGCCTTCATGCCTTGATGTAGATATCTGGTTACATAAAGAAAACTGATGGTGGTCTATTCTAATTTTGGCCTTTTCTAAGAAAAAAAAAAAAAAAAAAAAAAAAAAAAAAAAAAAAAAACTTTTTCACATAGGCATGCTTTTGAGAAAGATATCAAAATTGATAGCACTGTCATCAATAAAAGGAAAACTCACATAGTCTCTGCAATAAAAGCAATTATACACTGGTCGACACTGAAAATGCAACACCAAGAAGAAGTGGTCAGAAAGTGATGAAATTTTAAAAAGACAGAGACAGCAAGCAGCAATAAGTGATCTTTATTTCAAAATGATAGTCAGAATACAGAGAGAGAACGGCATAGGACCACCGCGGACAGCGATGCACAATGAAACACGTCTAGGCATAGAGTCAACAAGAGTGCGGATGGTGTCCTGAGGGATGGCTCTCCATCAACTTTCAACCATTTGCCACAGTTCATCTTCTGAACAAAGCAGGGGGCAGAGTCTGCAAACGGCATCCAATCACATCCTACACATGTTCGATTGGTGACAGGTCAGGAGAGTACGGTGGCCAGGGAAGCATCTGTATACCTTGCAGAGCATGTTGGCAGATGCGAACACTGTGTGGTCAGGCGTTATTCTGCTGAAAAATTGCATTAGGCAGCCCCTAAAGGTAGGAGACTGCCACCGGCCGCAGTACATTATCCAAGTATCGTTGCGCCGTCGTAGTGCCCTGAATACGAACTAGCGGTGACCTGGAATCGTAGGCAATAGTGCCCCAATCCATTATGCAATGTTGTCTTGCGGTAGGGCATTCCATAGTTTCTGCTGGATTAGATCTGTCTCCATGTCAACACTACACACGTATGCGGCGACTGTCACTGGATAAACAGAAATGTGACTCATCTGAGAACACGATGTTTCGCTATTCTGTCATCCACGTTCAACCAATCAATGGGAAATGGTTCTGGTTGACACGGGAACATCCAGGGTATCTTGCACAAACTGCAGAACTGCAGTACAAGTGACTTGCGGGACCGCCACAGCTTGTCGATGGATGCGTCGATCCACATGTGTTGACGTCACTCTGGCTGCATCTGCACCCTTCCTTCTTCCCACATTTCCTTGTTCCAACCATGTTCGCCATAGCAGATGCACCGTGCTCGCATCTATGTGGGTATCAGCAGCGATTTGACGTAAGGACCAACCCTCTCTTCTCAATCAGATCACCATACACCTCGTAAAATCCTCTATCTGCTGGAATTGCCTTCGTTGACGGTGGCCTGGCATTCTCTCCTATTGTACGTATCCTCCAAGACAAAAACCAACTTTCTTCGACAATATTTGTCTGACAGAAATAAAGACACGGAACGTTGCCTTTGCTGTTATCCATCTTACTTCACGGGCGTCGGTCGGAGAGCTGCATATTTGCATCATCAGTTCGCACATAGACATGATGCGAGCAGCGCATTTCACATCAGTGACGTGCCGTCTACTCTAAAATTTGCATAAATTTCTGACCACTCCTTCTTCGTGTTGCATTTTCAACATCGAGCAGTTTAAATGTTTTCATGTACCTGAATTTAAAAATTTCATTCCTGACTAAAAAATATAACTCCTTTTGTTTCTTTGATCTACAAGACATCCTCTTCTGGATTTGAGCTTTTATGGACATTGCTGATGGCCATCCATACTTGTTTTTTTATAAGTCACACTTTTTCTCAGGTTAAATTTTTAAACCCACATATAAAATTTCAATTAATTCTAGCCTATATATTAGGCTTGGCAAACTTCAAGGCAGTATGTTAAGACACAAGAAATTCTGAAAGCTGCAACTAGATCTTATGTCATAATTTCCTATTTATTTAGTTTTAAAAGTAATAAAAACGATTTTCAGAAAAAGAAATGTTTGAGGTAAATTAATAGGAGTTTCAAATTTTTTGTATTTAATAACTTTTATTTCTCATGCTGTGCTCAGAAAAACTTGTTCTGCAATAGGCAGATTCGAAACCATCATACATTTCTAATCGTTGAATGGTTTTAGTGAAAGTATGTTAAAATCTAAAGAAGGAATTATAATGGGCTTTGTGAGCACAATAACATAAACAGCTTTTCATGCGAGTGAAGAATAAGGCACTAATTTGAAAAACAGATAAGTAGTTTTTCTTTAACTTACATGCACTTCTCCGGAAGGAATAAAATAAGTGAAACAGGTCAATGTATTCTACAGAAAAACTGCTATTTGAGAATGGTTTGTTTAAATTTGGAAAAGCATACGAGGACTGTCTGCTGAAAGCTATAAATGCCTTTCTGAATAATTTTCTAAAGAAGTTCAGCTCATATATACGATTTACAAGAAAGAAACACTAATTTAAAATAAGCTGTAAGCCTTTTTAAGGATTCTACATAAAAATAATTATTTAGTTCCTAAACATTTGGTTTAATGCTTTAGATGCGAATTTGATTATCAATTACATTTTGTTTTTCTAAGGATGAGACCTACAAATCCTCAGAACTCGCAAATCTTCACAAAGATTTGAATTCCAAATCTCAAATCTTGGCACTATTTTAATTTTATCTGTTTATTGTTTGAATCCTAACCTAAAAAACTGCTGAATTATTTTAACCCAAAATTTTGAAAAGACTAGCTTCATTAATTCAGTAAGAAATGAATATGACTGTTGCAATTTCAGTAGTATCTAAATCACTAAATTAACTCTGTGATGGTTCTGTGTGCCACACTGTTTTAGTACGGCACCCAATGATATTGGGCAGAATTTTCACTCTAGTAATCAGTGCATTGCTCTTTCTCAAAAGCTATTATAGAATCATAAATAACTGCCTATAGATAACCTATTACAAATAGTTCTTGACTGTTTTTAAGATCTTATGGTATATAAATGCTATGACACAAACATGGCTCCAGTTGTTTACAAGTTCTATTTAGCTATAGTTCATGCATTTTAAGTATATTAAAAAAAATGTATTTTCATGTTTGTCTTTCATAAACACGGATTTCAAAATTTACTTTTAAATACATTTATGACTTTTTACATAATTTTTTTTTTATTCTTCATTTTCTTATTTATATTTGAAGGATTCAAAAGATCTGATGTTCGAATATCTTTCAAGATTTGGATTCAAATTTAAAGAAGTTCAAGATTCAATCCAGCTTTAGTTTTTCCAATGCAAACTGACTATACATATTTATAATTTTAAGATACATCATTGCAATGTCAACATGTATAAGTTCATTTAAAAATACATCAGAAAGTATTAATACTTCAAGTTGAGGAAGAAAACTGGAATGAAATACCCACCATCAACTTTTGTCATGAAAATGCCAATCAGACAATAGAACAGATATTATGATCAGCTATGCTAAGGAAGATATCTGAACTGAGTTTTAGGTAATGATTAACTTTCCCCCTTATATTAAGGAAGATTTAATATAAAATATTACACACACTTTTATTGTAGGTCAGATGCCATTGTTACTAATATTATTTTGCAGTCTAATCAGCTTTAAAGCATAAAAAAGAACTGCCATCTATTGATCGTATAAAATATTTTAGTGTAGACTAAGGAGGAAGAAGGATGTCAAGTATAATTAAATATCACAAATGTTACATATTGATTGCAGAATGAAGAATTTTACTATTTGTACATAATGAATATAACTTTTTTCTTATTTCCAATTTTTTCTCTCGTACATTTTCCTGGTAACTCTTGATGGTGAGGTGCATAACATGCATTTGTGAGTTGCACCTGAAGGTTCAAAACAAAAGCAAGTGTCCAGTCGAGATCTCTACAGAATGCAATTTTGAAGTGATGAGTGTCTGAAATGTAGCTAAGCTCTATCAGGTACTATGACCAAAGGACATCAAACACTGTATTTAAAAATTGAAAGTTTACGTAACAAAATTCCAATAGTTTTACAGTGTACTGAATGATGTTTATAAATCAGGTAGTAGATTATAATATAATCTTCCATTAATCTACTCACTTTTGT